TTCTCCTTCAGTCTCTCTGAGGAAACTCTGGCTGCAGTTCAGTGAAAAAGGGTTGAAGAAGAGGTGACAGTTTACCTCCATTTGTGTCCGTCAGCAGCGTCTGTCGACCGTTTCCTAAACAACACAGTAGAATTACTCTGAGGTCATGACGAGAGAATTAAGAGCTCAGTAGTTATCAGAAGAATTGTTTCATTCAGTTTATCAAAGACCAGGCAGCTTCTATGAAGTCCAGGCCAAAGTTCAGAGTCTGCGCTTCTAAAAATCAAAAGCTGATTTAGTTTAACATCCATCCCTGAAGTGTCTCCGTCTGCAGTGCTGCTCTGCTCCCAGAGCTCCTGCATCACTTTAACTCCTCTGTTCTGTAAACATGTCAGATTCTCCTAAAGTGACTGTAAACAGAGAAATGTCAACTGGAATTAGTGTTCAAGAAGAAGAAGTTACAGGAGCTCTGGGAGCAGAGCAGCACTTGGTGGGGATGGAGGTTTCATTTATATCAGGTACAGCTTTTGATTTTAATCAACACTCCAAATGTAGTGAGCAAGAAGAGAGGAAACCAGAGGTTACCGTTAGCATCAGGTGAGTCGGCTCCATCTGTGACCACAAATACAGCATCAATGCAAAGAAACAAAAACACGAGTCAAGTGTTTAATACACACAGAGTCTGTAATTGTATAGTGTTCTGTTCGTTTTATCAGCTGTAAACGAACATTAAAATCTGAAACTATGATTGGCCATGACATTTCTACAAGACTTTATTTATTGTAACATCACAAATAATGTTTTTATTTAACATTTTAACAGTGAAATTTTAGTTTAATGCTGTAAATGCATTTCTAAAGTGAGATATGAGTGATCATGAACTGTAGCTACATGTACGATCTGTGTGTAACATCTATAAGCACCAGTGACCAGAAGTGCATCATGGATCATTGTGTCACCACATAGCATCTAACACCATTCATTAAAGATTAAAAAGCCAAAAGTGATCTTGATCTTATGTGAAATTAAGGCTTAAATGTCATTCATTTTTTTACAGTCTATGAAGAGTTTGTCATGTGCAGAGTTGATGTTGTTGATTGTTATTTATTATCTCAAAAAAAAATTAGGAGATGAGTTTAGAAGTTCTGCAATGAAGTAATTATTGTAGTTTTGTTAATGTAGTCTGTAAAAATATAAAGCATAAAGTTGTGGACATTTTTCTGAGATCACAGTCTTTCATGTTGCAGCATTGCTGGTTAATTATGAGAACATGTCAGTTAAAACCACTTTGTACCTGTCCAGGTGATCTCACCTGTCTGTTCTCTGTGAGCGCCGCCGTGTGACGATGACGAAGAAGCATCTGATGAAGGAGCACAGGGTGAGCGCTGCAGGGAAACTTCACAGTAAAAGTTTGTAAAAGTCTTTTGTCCATACCTGCAGAGTGGGAGGAGCCTGAGACAGAGCTGAGCACTGATTGGTCAGCTCCTAAGCTCTGAGAGGAGCCAGCGGATCCTGATTGGTTGATGCTGACATCAGCATGATGAGATGAAGCTTCAACAGCAGAAACAGGAGATTAACATAAAAAACAGGAGGTAAGGTGCTGCTTGAGGGGGCGGAGCTTGTACCTGCAGGTGAAGCCAGACTGTTCTGATCTGTAGACGGAGCTGCAGTCACTGAAACACAAACAGCAACCAGATCAATCAATGACACAGTTGATCAATAACACTGATTATCAATAGCAGCTGGATTCAGGTGGTTTGCACAGGTAAATACTCATTTTAAATAGAGAGTGAAGAAGAAGAAGTCCCACCTGTGGAGTCCAGGTGAGTGGGCTGAGTCGCGTGACCTGCCAGAATAAAAGACAAACAGTCCGTCATGTTGAAGCTTACTGATGAGTCCTGTATTGATCAGAAACAGATGTGACTTCAGACCTGGGACGTTGATGTGAGCGTCTGAACTGAATGGATCTTCACCACCTGAAAACAACAACAAATAAACAAACAGACTCACAGACGACCTGCTCCACAGCCCCGGCCCACCTGGACACTAGGAAGGCGAGTTATGTGAGAGTGCTGTCCGTGGACTTCAGTTCAGCGTTCAGCACCAGAATCCCCTCCAGACTGGTCACTAAGCTGCCGGACCTCGGACTCTCCTCCTCCCTGTGCAGGTGGGTCTGCAGCTGTTTGACCAGCAGACCACAGGTGGTCCGAGTGGGGAACCACCCTGAACATCGGCGCCCCCCAGGGCTGTGTGCTGAGCCCTCTGCTGGACTCACTGCACACCAATGGCTGCCTGTCCACATCACACTCTGACACCATCAGTAAGTCTGCTGACCACACAGCAGTGGTGGGTCTGATCTCCAACAACAACGAGGAGAACAATCTGATGGAGATCACCCACCTGGAGGACTGGTGCAGAGACAACAGTCTCCTCCTGAACGTCAGCAAGACCAAGGAGCTGATGGTGGACTACAGCAAGAAGCAGCAGAGGGCACACCACCCACTCAGGATCAGTCAGAGGTGGAGCGAGTGGAGAGCTTCAGGTAGCTGGCTGTCAGCATCACCAGGACACTTATATATAGTAGAGTAAGAGTGTGACTGAGGAAGTCCCAGCAAAGTGCTGCTTTAATGTCTCTGGTTTAGTCTGGATTAAAGGAACTCAAGCTGAGAAAAGTTTCCTCTAGAACCTCCTCAGAACCTCTGGTTCTGGTTCTGCAGCACCTT